TCATATTTCTTTTCAAATGTCTTCAAATTTCATTTATCTTCCTTTTAGACAACCTCAGAAAGTGAAGTTTATGTGTAAAAAGCCTGCATTTGTGGTGAGCAGGCAGTAACATGAATTAAATATGCTATCAGACAGTACCTATGCAGTACCACCTAAGCTTCTCTTCATTGGGACATGGGACCCTTTGAACGCAAGGACCCTTTGAACTCCTAACAGACGTCCTTGTTTCCCTTCCCCAATACTTCTCAAACTTACCGGCTTTTTGCTGCAGAATGCTCTTTTCCGTTCTATAAAGATGATAGTAAGGATTTTCCATAGCAATCTTGTCAAACAGTATTGATCCATATGTGTCGTATAAATACCAATGTGGTACAAACTTTGGTGTAGATAACAATCCTTCTTTTATTATTGTCTCCATTATACTGAATTAAAAAACACAAAGACGTACATGGCATACCGGAAAAAACGGAAACGCTATTTTCATTTGCTGTATACTGCAACAAGTTTGAACATTGTCACTCTTCGTTCAAATTATCAGACCAAAGTTTTTCTAGAGAATGGCAAGCCTTTTTCATTTTGTTTGCTTTTTTAATTATTTCATCATTATGTTCACATTTTTATTTTATCATTATTTTTTTCATTTTGTTAGCATTTTTAAAATATTCCATCATTTTGTTCACATATTATATTATTTTATCATTATGTTCACATTGTTTTTTTCATTTTGTTAGCATTTTTACGTTTTTTAATCATTGTGTTCACATTTTTATATTATTTTATTATTATGTTCACATTTTTTGAAAATTTGTTAGCATTTTAACAATATTTCATCATTATGGTCACATTTTTATCGTTATTTTATAATTATGTTTTTATTTTTTCTTCATTTCATCATTATGTTCACATTATTTCCTAATTTTGTTAGCAATTTTACATTATTTCATCATTTTGTTCACATTTATATATTATATTGTCATTATGTTAGCATTATTTGACATGTTTATTTGTTTAATTATGATAATTTATGCATGGTGAACAAACTCCCTAGATTAGTGTAGGCGCGAGTACATGTGAGTAGTTGTCATGGGTTTGAAACTACGTGTTTGTGGTATAAATATATCTTGTATTTATATATCAATGAACTAATACAGCATAAACATAAGCTTTTAATATTTTGTCTACTGACAATTATTTATAGCGAATTTACTAAAACAGAAGCTAATTATAATAGATAGGTTAGGGGGTATTATACACACACGCAGCAGGGAATATGTCGTCTACGCCAGGTCTTGTGTTGTCTCCTTTGGCAAAAGTGGCCAAAATTAGGGAAGTATGTCAATATTTGCGCGATGCAAGTTTGTTGTTACAGCAAGCTGTTCCAGCGACGAATACACTCTCCGCACGGAGACATTAACATTAACATTTTTCAATTATTTCATCATTATGTTCACATTTTATTTTATTTTATCATTTTTTTATCATTTTTTAATTATTTCATCAATATGTTCACATTTGTATATTATTACACCATTTTCTTAGCATTTTTACATTATTTCATCATTATGTTGACATTTTATATGCAATATTTCTGTGAGTACCCTTCAGATGGGCAATCTAGCGATTCGATTTTTCTAGAACCTCTTGAGGATTTGCAAAATTCGACCCCCCCCCCCCCTGCAGAGTCTAATTTGGGAAAGGCATCGTGCAAAAATAAAATATAAATAAAATGCTATCCATGCATGAGACCATGTCGATCGGGAACTTGCTTATGAGGTGAGATCAGTGCCAACAAACATTTCATTCTTTTTTTTTATTTTATTAGCTTTTTCTTAATTATTTCGACATGTTCACATTTTTATTTTATTTTATCATTTTTTTTCATTTGTTTACCATTTTACATTATTCCATTATTGTGTTCACATTTGTATTATTTTATCATTATTTTGCTCATTGTGTTTTTATTTTATCGTTAAGTTCACATTTTTATATTATTTTATCATTATGTTCACTTTATTTTTCATTTTGTTAAAATATTTACATTATTCCATCATTATGTTAGCATTTTCATGTTATTTCATCCTTATTGAATCATTATGCTTTCGTTTTGTTAGCATTTTTACATTATTTCATCATTGTGGCAAACAACTAAAAAAAAGAGACAAGTTG